ACTCTTTCAAAATTATTGATCAAACAAAATAGTATCATTGATGGGCGAACTTTTCAATGCACTAAAGCAAATTGTTTTCCCCCTACGAGTATTCCCCCTTCCTCTTTTTCAAAGGGGAGCAATTAATCATGAATTTAGAATATATGATTTACTACAAGAAAATTATAATGAAATGACACATTCTATAATGATATAATATTTAAAAATTATTTTTCTTTATATTATAAATATAATATATGTTGATATATTATTAAAAAATATAAATATAAATTATTACTCATTAAAATTAATATTAAAATTATACATAAATAGATATATATATATAGATATTATTTATAATGATATTTTTTTATATATATTATATTATATATAATATTATTACATTGTATATAATATTTCTTATAATAATATGTCAATTCATTTGTAATTGATAGCGGGTGCATTTGAAATTGATAGCAGCGGCTTCTATCACTTTTGTGATAAAATGAATTTAGAACCCAGATATCAATACACCTTTGTTTGATATAATACGAAACCAATCATATTACTTCTACTTTGAGGGTTGCAAAGATTTTGGCTTGTCGAGGAAAAATTATATCTATATAATTTAAATTAATTATCATTTGACATGTATTTAAGTTTTTAAATTTATAAAAAAAATTTAATAACACTTAATTATATATTATATAAAAACTAATTAAAGGTTATACGACTCAAGACTATCTAATAATTCTTTCTTTTAAAAACTAGCAAATGAGGATGTTTAGAATGAGAATTTTTTTTTTATGAGAAATGGGAAGTGTTCAACTTTATATAGCTCTAGAATGTTATAAATTTTATTTCTAAAAATTAATGTGAGCTATATATATATATATATATATTATTTATAAGATTTATATTAATTATTTATATTTAGTTGAGTTCAATAAAAGTAATATAATTTTAGTGAGCTACTGTCAATAGAAAAAATTAATATGGGTTCAAATAAGTGGAAATTAGATTTGATCCGTTTGGGATTAATGAAAATCTTAACATGTTTAAAATTGTAAAGATGGTCATGATCCCCAATAAGTCAAATAAGAAAAAACACATTTATCTCTACCCATCAGAAGAGAATATCAAGTCTCATTTGAGGAATCCAATAATTTGGCTGAGGAAGATTATTGTACCAAAAGGTTATTCCGCTACAACCTCCAATCAACGTCAATCAATACTGGTATGTGTTACTAACCTTAACACTGTAATATGACACAACGGTCCTTAATATTGATTGATGGAAAATTTTCTATATATTTAGCTTAAGAAATTTAACTCCAACATAGAAAAATTATTATTATTATTCTATTTATATATACTTCATCCGCTCTTATATTTGAGACCAATTACCTAATTCACCGAGATTAAGAAAAATAGTTAATTTAGTTGATAACAATAAATTTATTCTATATATATATATATCTTCTCTTTCCTAATTAATACCATATATCTTCTAAGTTCTAATCAATTAGAGTGTATGCCCTATTCTATTTTTCTCTCCTTATTAATATTCATCTTCTCTTAACAATTAAAATATATGTTCTTTAAAGATTTTATAATTAATACATTTTATCAAATTAAGAAAAAACTATGATATAAAATAATTAATTTATATAAAAAAGTATGAATTAAATTTTATATAAAAAAATAAATAATTATTCTAAATTTGATCTTATAAATAGAGATAGAGATATATAATATTAATTAATTATTTCTAATTAACTATCATGTGCATAAACGATCTTTTATAAAGTCATATTATAAAGTATATAATAATAATATAAAATAATAAAACTATGATAAAATATACTTTGAAAAGTTTTGAATATTATTATTTTACATTAAAATATAATAAAATTATACAAATATAATAATACAACTCCATAATAATAGTTATCTCTAATAACAGTAAAATAATATTATAATAAATATCTTAATAATAATAAAATATTAATCGGTATTTATAAGAAAATAATTATTCATTATATTTTCAAGAAAATGTAAATAAAATAAAAACAACATTAATAATGAATATTCTTTTATGAGAGAGAATTAATCAGTACCAAAAAATTTACAATACTTACACCTTTGCCCAAATGAATTAAGTTAGACCTAATGAATATAATCATTATTAACAAAAGAAATGAAAATAAAAACTAATAGCAGTAGACTAATACTATAATTATAAGAAAATTAAAAAATAAATCTAAAATGATATTATATTAATAATCTAAATGGTACAAAATTATAGTATAAAAATAAAAATAACAAAAAGGTCTTTTTTAATAAAAAAAATAGTTATAATAATAATAAATATTATTTAAAAAATTCTGAAAAAAAATTATCATGCATGTACGGATACCAATTCTATATATATATATATATATATGTTATTTAATTAACACCTAAGGAATTGAAATAATGTTAGAGATCTCTATTATGATTCATATTTTAAAAATTAATTAAAAATAGTTATTTAAACTCAGTTGTGATTTTTTTTAATGAATTCAAGAGGAGAAAAATAGCATTTGAATTAAAAACAAATAACAATAATAAAATTTAAAAAGAAGTTATTAATAGATTTCAACTTTTTAAAAAATTACTTGCAATACTAATAAATAAATGATATTAAATGACATGATAAATGAACACACATATCTACATATTATTTCTTTTGTTCTAAAATAACTATAATTTTAATATTTTAAAAAATCTCAAAATGACTAATTAATGTCCTTAATATTTTAATATAATATAAATTATTACTTTATTATTGTTCTAGATTTGTATGTAAAAATATTAAATTATAATCATTTTGAGATTAGAAGAACGTTAAATAACATTAGAGAGGATATTAAAACATGTTATATTAAACCCCAAGCGTGTGGTTCAGCGGTAGAGGTTGATCCACGCTTAAGCAAGGTGAGGGGTTCGAATCCTGCCTTCTTGGGGCCAGCTATGTCGGCAGTGGATACTCCAGGGACGAACCAAAAAAAAAAAAAAAACATGTTATATTAATTGAACAACAATTTATGGATTATTCTAAGTGATAGTTGGTAATACCCAAATATTTTATTAGAGACTAGGGATGACAAAAATACTCGCACGCGTGAGTATTTATGGGTAAAATCCGTTACGGATAATAAATGAATAGGTTAATTGGGTACTCGCGAATAATGGGGACACATAAATTTTTACCCCATTATAAATGGGGCGGGGGCGGGTATGATGATATCCATACTGCAGGTACCCGTTTAATAATATTTCTTTAAAATTCTAATTACCCTTGTACCACATAACTCTAAAACTACACTCTCTCATCTTATTTTCTTTCCATAGAATTATATTGGATGTAATTTGATTAATTTTCTAGCTATGATTGAATCAATAAGATTTATGTATTTTAAATTGTTTACTTTCGTTTGAAATTATGAGATTGAATTATTGTAGCTTTGAGTGTGATATGAGATTTTCACTTACTTATGTGAGATTAATGTATTTTAAGTTATTGATTATCTTGCATTTTTATTATTATTTCAACAAAATTAACGTTAAATAAAAGTTTAAAATTAACATAGAATTTTTATTTTTAATATTTCAATGACATTAAATATAAACTTAAATTATTTGTAATTTAATTTTTTTAATTTCTTAAAAAATTTATAAATATCCATAGATATCCGTGAGTATTTAAGAAATTCATGGATACCCGCTTAATGGATACTCGTGCGGATATGGGGTGGGTATGTGACCAATTTTCATCCAGCGAGATGAGGGTGAGTTTACTATTACCCGCCTCCATGGGGCCCATTGTCATCTCTATTAGAGACATTTGATATATGACAAATTTTTTCATGTATGACAATTATAATTCATGAAAATTATAAATATAAAAACAAATACTAATAAGAATTATAAAAATATAGTTGGTCACAAATGTTTATAAATGTTAATCGAGTCCATTTCGCATTAAAATTTTATTTTTAACTCAAAAACATTAGCTTCCTACCTCACCTACGGAAACAATTCCATAAAAAATCTATGTAAAATTTATTTCGAAAAAACAATATTTTTTAAAATATTATTTTCAAATAACAAACCAAATACAAAAATTAACATTTCCATCGTGAAATTTCTTGAAAAGAAAAAGAAATTCGTGTAGCAAAGCTCTCTTTAATAAAATTAAAAGATGTTTAAACAAGAAATGAAGCAGGATAATCATTTTCCAAAGCAAATTAAAAGTACTTTTTTGTATCTGCTCTCTTACTCCATCAACATCGATAAAGTGCATGCTTAACACTGGATGTCTCCAGTTTCATGAGTCCATATGCGTGAAAAGAAGAATCGAAACGTTTGAGATATTAAGCACTCAGTGGTTGGTGTACATATATACGTGTTATGTCGTTAAAAGTTGCAGGTTCTGAGCAAAGAAAGGTAAAATGCCATTGCCAGCCCATAAGCATTTTCTTTGGCATTTTTGAGGTGCTTGCTCGTTATGGTTACATCAAGAGCTGGCTCCCATGCTATAAAGCTTTCT